GTCTACCATATTCCCCCTTAAGTAGTCTCTTTTCTAAAATGAAGTCCCAGTCTTTTTAATCTCTAGTTTGGTAGTTGTTCCATACTGCTAATCATTTTTGTTGCCCTTCTCTGCATCAGTTCCAATTTAACATATCTTTGTTGAGATGGGGTGACAGAACTGCACACAGTATTTAAGGTGTGGGTGTAGCATGGATTTATAAAGTGACATATTTTCTAACCCTTTCCTAACAGTTCCTAATATTGTTAGCTTTAATTACCGCTGCAACTATCCACAGTGACTCTAACATCTCTTTCTTGAGTGGTAACAGCTAATTTAGACCCCATTATTTTGTATGTGCAGTTGGGATTATTTTTTCCAATGTGCTTAATTTGCACTTATCAACATTGAATTTTATCTGCCATTTTGTTGCCCAGTCACCCACTTTAGTAAGATCCCTCTGTAGCTCTGCTTTGGACTTAAACATCTTGAGTAATTTTGTATCATATGCAAACTTTGCCACCCCACTGTGTATCTCCTTTTCCAGGTCATTTATGAATATGTTCAAAAGCACTGGTTCCAGCACAGATTTTTGGGGTACCCCACTGTTCACCTCTCTCAATGGTGAAGACTGGCCATTTATTCCTACCCTTTGTTTCTTTTCTTTTAACCAATTACTGATCCATGAGAGGACCTTCCTCTTATCCCATGACTGCTTATTGTGCTTAAGAGCTTTTGGTGTGGGACCTTGCCAAAGGCTTTCTGAAAGTCCAAATACACTACATCCACATGCTTGCGGACATCCTCCAAATTCTAATAGATTTGGGGAGGCATGATTTCTCTTTACAAAAGCTGTGTTGACTCTTCCCCCAACATATTGTGTTTGTCTATGCACCCGACAATTCTGTTCTTTACTATAGCTTCAACCAAATTTGCCTGGTACTAAAGTTAGGCTTATCAGCCTGTAATTATCAAGATCACCTCTGAAGCCTTTTTTTAAATCAGCATTACATTAGCGTGTGCGTGTGTGCAGAGGCTGATTTACATGATAGTTTACATACCAGTTAGTACTTGTGCAATTTCTAATTTGAGTTTCTTCAGCACTCTTGGGTGAATTCCATTTGAGTCCTGGTGACTTATTATTCTTTGAGTTTGTTCCAAAACCTCCTCTACTGATGCCTCAATCCGAGACAATTCCTCAGATTTGTCATCTAAAAAGAATGGCTCAGGTGTGGGGATCTTCCCCACATTCTCTACAGTCAAGACTGATGCAAAGACTTCATTCAGCTTCTCCGCAATGGTTTGTCTTTGAGTGCTCCTCTAGCACCGGACTGGCCAGCAGTCCCAGCGATGGTTTGGCATGCTTCCTGCTTGAGTTACTTAAAAAAAAAATTGCTGTTAATTATAAGAGAAACTAGCTAATGACACAAAAACTCTTTCTTGGCCTAACCTTATTATACCTTTGCACTTGACTTGACAGAGTTGATGCTCCTTTCCATTTTCCTCACTAGGATCTGACTCCCATCTTTTAAAGAATGCCTTTTTGACTCTAATCACCTCTTTTACTCCGCTGTTTAGCTATGGGGGCATTTTTTTTGGATTCTCTTACTTTTCTTTATTGGAGGTATATATTTAGTTTGAGCCTCTATCACAGTGATTTTTAAATAGTCTCCATGCAGTCTACAGGCATTTCACCCTTGAGACTATTCATTTTAAATTTCCGTTTAGCTAGTTTCCCTTTTGAAGTTAAATGCTACTGTGGTGGGTTTCTTTGGCATTTTTATCCTTAAAAGGATGTTAAATTTAATTACATTAATATAATATATGGAGATATACCTATCTAGAACTGGAAGGGAACCTGAAAGGTCATTGAGTCCAGCCCCCTGCCTTCACTAGTAGGACCAAGTACTGATTTTGCCCCAGATCCCAAAGTGGCCCCTTCAAGGATTGAACTCACAACCCTGGGTTTAGTAGGCCAATGCTCAAACCACTGAACTATCCCTCCCCCCTACATTATGGTCATGATTACTGAGTGGTCTGGCTATATTCACCTCTTGAACCAGAGGCTGTGCTCCCCTTAGAACTAAACCAAGAATTGGTTAAAGATGTAAGGAATTGATAAGTATGCTGTGAATGAACATCAGTTGCAAAGTTTACCCACTGAACTAAAAATTAAAGCCAAAGAAAAATGGGAGGAGTACTGAAGACAAAATTGAAGTACTTATCTGTAACAGGAATTTAGACTCCCACGTGTATTCCCTTCTAAAGGTTAGCTGTACCTCAGATGGGGATTTCTTCCACACCCAACAATTAATCTCCATACTCTACAAAAGAGTTCACAATCCAGACTACTGACATCACTGAGGCTCCTGAGACATTAAGAAATATTTCCTGGTGCTGTTCAAAAAGGAGGGGCTGCTGGAACCACGTATGCACAAAGTCCTGGTTCCATAAGTGGGGGATACCACTTCTCCCTGTCAGAGATCACACATACTAAAGACTTCTCAAAGGGCTACTTGCCACTGGAAATTCCAAAGAGGGCTCCAGAGCCCATATGTGTATATCTACCCTGAAGCTTGGAGCAAACCTCCCAGACAGGTAGACAGACTCACACTAGCATACTAAAAATAGCTGTGTGGACATTGTGGCATGGGCAGAGGCTCAGGCCTGGGTCTGAGCTCAGGTGGCTGGCCCAAGCCTTTTCCAGGGCTGCAACATCCACACAACTATTTTTTGCATCTGTCCACTTGCAGTGTAGACTATCACATCATTCTCTTAGCAGGGAAGTGAAGGGTGCTGCTGAAGGCATGTGTCCAGAAGTCCTCACTACACTAATACCAACAGTAGTACAGGTAGCTGCACTATTTTAGAGTGTTGTAATATCAACTGTGGCAGGTGACAAAGGTTGGGGTAAGGACAAAAAATGATTAAGCATTTCATTTTGAAATCCTATTTCTACTTTAGAGCATATAAATTATATTTCAAAATCTCAGTTCATTAAGCAGCAGTGACATTAGCTCCTCCTGTGTAATGTTTACCAATAAATTATGTCTAAAACCCAGTAAAGCAGGGCTACGATCTTCTCAATTGTTATTTCTTTTAAAAAATAAAATATCATTAGTTTCTTCATCATAAAGGGTGTAAAAGTTTCTGAAAGCACACCAGTTCAGTGCACCCATTCCTGACCCTCCACCAATGCATGGTTTTCCCACTGTAGACCAGGACAAAGACCTAACCAACTTAAAGTGAGAGAAGCTTCCTCACTGGTTTTGCCATTTCACCTGCCATAGGAAGAACCATTAAGACTTTGTCCAGACTGTCTGACCAACACTATTTAACATCTGATCATGCAACTGTGACCAACAGTCACAGCTTGTATGGCTTTGTATTCTAGAGCAAACAGGACTCTGCTTCAAATGGCCACATCAGACAACACTGGGCTTGATATATGCGCTACGCATACATCTCCCAATTAAAGTAGAATCAAAGCAAAGCAAAGCACAGCAATAACCAAGATTCGAAGAAGTCACAACTCTGCACTACAATTGACAATGCTGAAAGCAGACTGGGAGATGTACTGAACTCATCACTGCCCAAGAGGCGAAATTAGCAACTTTAGAATTTTACTGCTCAGATAATTAGTCTAAGTATTTAGGTTAAGGCTCCCTTCCCTGGGGCTTTGAAGGTCTCCTGTCAGGCTGGGGAGGACAAGGCCACATGGAACCTAGCCCACTGAGTTTTGCATCAGCCTTCAGGCTTTGCTCCTAACAAAGCCCATCAGGATCAGTGACCCAGCTTCACACCAACCCCTCTTCACGCACCCTGGGGAATGCGACCCTGAGGCTCAGCCCTTAGATATGGATGGGAGCGTGCTCAGGGTTATTATGCTGTTCGAGGCGCTTATGCGAGGCCTTGTAGATAGGGCCTGAGTGATGAGCCATTCCCCTTCCCCACAGCCGGGTCCCAGCCACACATCGCTGTCGGGGAAAAAGGGACACAGCCAGGCCCGTCCCGAGCAGTGGGAAGAGGCCACTTCTCCCCCCTTGTTGTCCCGCACAAGGATACACTTCCGAGGGGAGGGCTCCCTCCAGCCCTGGCTGCAGCTGAATCCGGGTCCTCCCCCGCCCCCCGGCGGCCTTCCGGGGGGGTTGCTTCCCCGATCTCCCCCACCCCGGCTCCTGCCCCAGCGGCCCCCGCCGCGGTAAGGCCTGCCTCGGAAGCGGAACCGATCCAGCGCGTTGTGGCTGCGCTCCCAGAACGAGAGCCTGGGGCCAGAGTCGGAGTGGGAGTGGGAGCCCGGAGGCATCCGCGACGACGGCAGCGGCGGCGGGTGAGAGCGGAACGACTCCTTGGGCCGGTAGCCGCCGTGGCCGTGCAGGTGGCCGAGCTCCGGGGGCGGTTGGTGCCGCGAGCGGGGGAAGCGGCGCGAGGAGGAGAGGGAGGCGCCGCCGCGGAGCCCGGGAGGCGGCCTGCGTCTCGAGTAGGGCCTGGTGCTGATGAGGCCGCTGGCGGGCTCGGAGCCGTTATTGTCATCGTCGCTGATCTCGCCGTCCTCCAGCTCCCCCTCCTCCTTCGGGGACAGACCGCTAGGCTCCAGCGGCGCCGCCTCGGCAGGGGCTGTGGCCGCCGCCATGGGCCCGGTCCAGGCGCTCCGGAGAAGCGGGGAGCGGCTCGTAGCGGCACAAGCGCTTTCGGTTCCAGAGTAGCCCAGCCCCAAAACTTCCCCACCACGTCTGTCTTCAGGATCCCCCCGCCTTACCCCTCCCCCCGCCAGCTGTAGTCTCGCGAGAACTAATAACTCCCCTCTCTCACCCCCCCTCTGGAGGGGAGGGAAGCCATGGTAGATTGCGTCATAGAGAGGGGCCGCGCGCTGTATCATGGGAGCTGTAGTTCTGACTAGCAGACGGGGCGCGTCCGTTATAGAGGGGAGAGCCGGCAACGAGTCGAGCCCGGCCGTCCTGCAATGGGGCGGCGGCGGATAACGGTCTCCAGGGGCGGCGGCGTCTTCCGCCATGTTGGTGAAGGAGCTGGATGGAGCAGCCGGGAAGCCGCCATCTTATTAAAGGGAAAGAGCGAGTCTCCCCAGACCACCCCGTGTGCCGCCTGCGAGAGGAGATGCCGACCAGCTGCGCGGCGGCGGGGTGCGCCGCCGTCTACAACAAGAGCGTCAACGTCAGCTTCCACCGGTACCGCCTGGGCTGGGCTGGGCTGGGGTGGGGTTAGGCCTGGCTCTCCGGGCGGTTCTCTGCCCCTGGAGAAGCCGGGTTTGTGTTCGCGCCTTCGGCTTTCTAACCAGCGGTCCTTCCGCCGCCCTGAGAGCGGGCTATAACGCGCCGCTGCCGCGCGGGGCGGCTCCCCTGTCTGCGCGGGCCGAAGGACTCCCCACACCAGTCACCCGTGTAGACACGGTTCAGCCCCCTCCGGGCCGCCGGTGTGGTGCTGGTGAAGTTTAGCCAGCGCTATGGAGAGCTCATGGAGTTCCGAGCCAGTCAAATGATCCCTTCAAAGAAGCGAATTCCGGGTAACTATTGTTATAGTTGCATAGCCTCGAACCAAAATCTCAAAGGCTTGGCCAGGTTTTTTTCCTCTTGACATTCAGATCTGCCCTATAACAAGAATGAAAGTTGAGCATTTGAGAAGGGAAGAAATTGTTAGTCGGTCCTGTCTAAAGCTGCCATTTGTTTCTTTTGACATCTTCTAAACTCTGTCCAATTAACAGCTGGGAGAAACAACCTCACCTCTTCAGACAAGGGGTGAACTCTCAGTATGCCCCTCTGAGACGCTCAAGCAGCCCTTTAGCCACACTATGGAAGGTCAGATATTATTCCTGGTATTTTTGTGCTAAAACACAAATTTTAACATTTGACAGTTGAACCTCTTAGACTTTATTTATCCATTGAAGAAGAAAAAAAGGGCACAAACCCCATTTTAAAAACTCCTTTATCGGTCATATTTAAATCTTAGTTCAGTCACTTGTGTTTTTTGGACTTAGTATTTGGAAGCTAACTTCTATGAACAGACCTGTCAAGTCACACTAAAACTTGAGGGAAACATTGTCATTTTATATTCCTTGTAAAGATGAATTGCAATGGGTTTCTTTGAACAAAACACAAACTTAATTTTCTTTATTATTTTATATTTATATTACAATAGCACTCAGAATCCCCAAAGTGGATTTGGTTTGTTTTTCCCCAAAGTCTCCCCACTCACCCCCCCCCCCCCCCCCCCCCCCCCCCCCCCGCATTATTATTATTTATCTGCAATCAAAGTAAAAAAAGACTGGATAGATTTCTAGACCAGAAGGGACTGACGGTGAGGTAATGAGCCATCCCTGAACTAGAGCCTCATTAAGCCATATGCAGTGGTGAGTCATTCCTGTGCTCAGCGCAGCCATTCCACAAGCCAGGAGCTGGTCTGGTGACTCTCCGGGCATATACCAGCCTCACAGGAGACACAGCAGCTTGGTCAGCCCAACATGACTTTATGGCTTGGAATACCACTACCTGATAGTGGTGACAGACTTTACAGGCTTCGGTCTGCTCCAGCCCTGCCCTTGTTCCACCTTAACTCCCAGCCCTACCCTTGGCTTGTTCCAATCCCTCTCTTGACTCCAGCTCTGGTTCCTGGCCCAGCTGTCGCTGCATCAACTGGGCCGCACCCTCTACGTCTTGTTTTCTGACTTCTTGTATAACATAGGCCATAGAACTTCCCCAAAATAATTGTTGTATAAATAATACTAGTGATATCTTATCTAATTATTTCTATTGTCTTTTCTCTTAGATTTCCCTTGGATCCCAAGAGAAGAAAGGAATGGATACGTCTTGTAAAACGCAATAATTTTGTGCCGGGCAAACACACTTTTCTTTGCTCAAAGCATTTTGAATCCTCCTGTTTTGACCTAACTGGACAAACTAGACGACTTAGAATGGATGCTGTTCCTACAATTTTTGATTTCCCGGCTCATCTAAAACTCAGGGTAGGTTATTGGAATGTATGTCACTCTCTGAAGTCTTCTGCATTTTTTCAGTTTAAAAAAAAAAAACCACACACACACAAGTGACCATCCCATACAAAATTTAAAGAAAATAAACTCAAACAAAAGGTTACTTAAACCGTTTGTCCTTATTTTATAGTCATAACACTATAGCATGTCTTCCACACCCATCAAATATTTTTAAATGGAAAAATGTGATTATAAAATCACCAGTGTTGGTAGGGAAACAAGAGTATGAATAGTATCTGAAATTACTTTTTTAAACGTTGTTTGTTTGTTTGTTTGTTTGTTTTTGTTTTGTTTTTTAAATGGAGATTGTGTCCATTTATAAACACACACAACTATAAATCTATTGCTGCCCAAAACTCATCCCAGAGATGCCCTCAATTTAGTCATTTAACATTGCTATGTGGTACAACATATTCCCAAATTACTAGAATAGAAATATTTAAACTTTTGAAGAAATGTGATTCCAGAGAAGTTTCTTCCATTGGCAATTCAGCATGTTTGCTAGTATGCCCCAGTCTTTTTCTTCCTTCCTTCCTTCGGCATCACTTGCTTTACTATTGTTACCAGGCAAGCAGTTTTGTAACTCTCTCACTTGCAACTTATACTAGCACAGATCATGGTGGATTGATTTAAATCATCTATACTAATCATGATTTAAATCAGCAAGCAGAAAACCTTGATTTAAATAAGCAATTTTAATCTATTTTGTATTTGTGCTTTCTAGTTATTTTTCTAAAGGAAGGTTGATTCTCATTGGTTGGGGACCATTAGAACATTGATTTGCAACTAAATATAGCCTTCGTATTAAACTTGGTGGTATTTTTTTGCTAACCAGGTAGATACACTATACGTATACGCATTGTTTGTGATAGTTTAACTTACATTTATTTGGATTCTGAAGTTTTACTTTTTTATTATGTTATAAAATTGTGAATGATGCATTTCTTATTTATTAGATGATGAATTTTTTTACTTGTGATTTGTCAAGTTGCATTTGGATAGAAATTCAAATCTAATTAAGAGTGCAAAAACATCATTATAAGGGCTTTTTTATTATTAAATAAAGCTACCTTAAAAGTGCTGGATACATAAGACAAAAAGCGTATCAAGAAGTTTATCAAAATATTTTGCATTTAAAATTGACTTATTTATCAACGGAAGTGTAATATGTAGATAGTCAATTGAACTGATTGATTGTTTCTGGTTACTATGTCCTTCAAGATTTTAGAACTAACAGATCTCTCTTTCTCTCCCAGTCAGAGGCACTGACTTATTTTTCTCAGTGGGTGCTCCACTCCTGCCCCTGTTCTGCCCCTTTCCCTGAGGCCCTACCCTCGCTCCGCTGCTTCCCACTCCCGACACCCTACCCCCGCGCCGAACAGCCGCTCAGCCGGCAGGTGGTGAGCACCCCCTATTTTTTTTTCTGTGGGTGCTTGAGCCCAGGAGTGCCTATGGCGTCAGCGCCTGTGCTCCTAGTATTTATTTATAGATTGGAAAACAAGCTGTCCTGCCTTTTTTTTTTTTTTTTTTTTTTTTTTTTTTTTTTTTTTTTT